CCCTGGTTTTCCACGGCTGGTTTTTGTGCCGATTCCTTGTTGGCAGAGATCTGCAGTGTCCGATGCAGCGTTGTGTAGATTCCGGACGCTGGTGTCTGTGAGGAGGGACAGATCTGCTGTTGGGAAATGGTGCCTCAGCACCTTAGATGTTGTGTGACACAGGCTGTGTAGGGAGTTATGGAAAAGTGTGTATTTTGGAGTGTAAGGGGGTTGAGATGGCTCTAGAACACGCTCGTGAGCAGGGTCCTTATTTCCCCGTCCGGGTTCACGGCAGCTGAGTGGTGCCGTCGGTCAGCGCCACTCGCCAACGTCACGTGGCAGCAGAATAGTCAAAGATTCATTTTTTTCTTTAGTCAGCTGATTTATCAACAATTTATGGAAGCTTTGTGTTTGTGACTCGTGTGTGACCGTGCTGTTAGGAGGGAAAGGGAGAGATTACCGGAACGAAAACCTCACGTACACGTGGGGGAAGTTGGGATCCCAGTAACCAGTGGGGTTCTGCGTGGAAGGGACTGGAGCTTCTGGTGTGGAGGGAGAGCTGGAATCCCACCCTTGAAAGCAAAGTATTAATTCTGCTCTGAACTGATCGTTTCTTGTTTAGTACCAAATTCTCTTTAGTTTTTTCTTGGACAAAGGTTCTTGATGGTGTTATTTTACGTGAGGGTCTTCAGCTGTATGTGTAGAAAATCCTGTTGAACCCAGAGAACGTCAGGCCTGGTGATGCCTTTTATGCATTTTGACCACATTTGTAGGACTTTTTTTTTAATGTTCAGGGAAGTAGAGATAAAAGAAATTAGAGCTTCAGGCATCAACAGAGCTGAGTGAATGATTAAACACAGATTTTTAAACAAATTATCTGCAAGTCCTTTAAAAAAAAAAAAAAGTCAGCCCCACTGAAGATTTAAGTGTGTGTGGGAATTGTTTCTTATATTTCAAAATAGAGAATTACATGCCAGATAGAGCCGTATTAAACGCTCCCCTGACACATCCACATGCCTTCAGCACTGCAGGGATTATTTTCTAATTACTCTTTGTCTCTGACGTGCGGGCTGACAAATGCAGTAAGATGAGGTCCTGGAGAGCCCGCGTGTGCGTGACGTGGTGGCAGCGGGATGTGCAGTTCCTGCAGGAGCTGGGCTCAGGGGTCACAGGGACTTGGGGAGAGCTCCTCCTTCCTCTTCCCTTCTTTTCCCTCTTCCCTTCTTTTCCCTCTTCCCTTCTTTCCCTCTTCCCTTCTTTCCCTCTTCCCTTCTTTTCCCTCTTCCCTTCTTTTCCCTCTTCCCTTCTTTTCCCTCTTCCCTTCTTTTCCCTCTTCCCTTCTTTTCCCTCTTCCCTTCTTTTCCCTCTTCCCTTCTTTTCCCTTCTCCCTCACTCCCAGGTAGGGTGGCATTTTTGATATATTGCTGTAAATTAACATCTCACTTCAAGAGTAGGGATGCAGCAAATTCTAACCGAAATCAGACTTTTATGAGTTGAAATGTAAGTGCAGGAGGAGCAGAGCACCAGTTACACCTGCTGGAAGCAGAGTGTGTTCCCCGGACACCGCGTCAGTGGTGATGTCCCGTCACTGCGGGTATAAATGAGCCAATATTCATTATTCAAATCTGTTGGTTAATTATTTTGTGCATTTGTGAAACTGCTAGAGGAACATTGACTTATTTTTTTAAATCCTTCATCAAACTGTAGGCTATAAAAGCTTTTTCATACTAGTTGTGTTTGAGCTTTTTCCCTTGTCACTGGTCCAGCTGCAGTCTCATGAGTTACTTCTCCAACGGCTGCTGTGCGATAAGCTCTGCTGGTGTAAGTGCTGGAGCTGATCCAACCTGCCTTGACATTCCCGGGGTGTTGCCCCCCGTTAGGCTCCAAAAACAAAGATTCTGAGCGCGCTGGTAGTAGTTGGATGTGCAGATGGGAAACCTGGCAGGGAGGGACAGCCCTGTGCTCAGGGGACCACACACAGCTCCAGGAGATCCACCTCCGCCTCAGCTGCATTTGAGTTTTCCCTCATTTCAACAGCTCTCCTTTGGAAAAGCAGCAGAAGTTTTTCTTCTCCTACTTTTGCAAGGGAGGAAAAAAAGAACTAGGATCATCAGGTTGGTTTGGTTATTCATAGAAACGCGGATGTCTGCGGTCCAGCGCACAGATAATAGGAAATGTTGTGTATTTGGTGCTAAAACCAGACCGGTTATCCACGTTGGGATGCTGTCAGTGTCCCGTGGAGCTGCTCGGGGTGTTGGTTTTGTACAGCAGTGGTGACACCACGGGCAGGATCCGGCCGCCCCCACACGCACAGCATCTCGTGCGTTAACGTTTCGGAGGTTTGGGGTCTCTGCTGACAGTGAATTACCTCGTGAGAAGTGAAACCCCCGGGGCTCTGGGCACAGCTGCCGGTTCCTCGGTGGTGCCCCGTCCGCGTGTAGCTGCTGCGGGTGTTGGGCAGTCGCACGCTGGGTTCGCTGGTCCCACACGGCAACGACACGGTGACTTTAGCTCTGAAACGCTCACGCTCTAAATACAGGTGGAGGAAGGACTGTTCTGAAGTGTACAGTAGCAAGTAAATAATTCTGGTTGTGTTGGTTGATGTGAAAAATGAGTCGATTCTACAGACAAAAGAAAAAAATCTGAAAAGCGTATTTTGAAAAAGCATAGTATTAATTTTAATATTGTAAAAAAAAAAAGGAAAATATCTAAAATACACAGAGAACATATGTATATCCAAATGTCTGAGGAATTTCAAGATAATCTACTTTTGGTTTCTGTTGATTTCTATTCCATGGTGTACATATTGTGTGGATTGAACATTGGCTGTTTTAATACTATTGTTAAATTGTATTTTTATTTTGTGTTAAACTAATCATCACAGACTCAGCTTTATTT